ACTTTCAAAATGCTGAAAATGTAACGGTGTAACCAAAATTTTGTAGTACTTAAATTTCAAGTACATATCAAGTACTGTAAAATGCAGGTACCTAAATATTACAATAATTTTAAAGTAACAAAATAGTACTGAATATTAAAATAGATTTCCAGTACTATAGATTTTTGGTACAGAAATAGTACCTATGCAAAAGTAGCTGTGTATTCAACAAACCTGTTGCTTGATGCGACCATATAAAGCTTTCATTCTTTTCCTTGGCTTCTTGTCCTTTGTAGTCTCTGTGTCTAATGTTTCTGCTCCTTCCATAACACTAAAATTTCAAACAAAAATGATTACTCAGTCTGAAAAATACTTCACATCTTGAATTTAGATATTTTGCCTTGTTATTTGAGATTGTACTGTGAATCAATTTTCTTTACCTAAGATCTTAATGCATGTTTGTTTTGAAAAGAACTATTACTTTGAAAAGATCATTTTGTCATATGTAAAAGTGTGCATATATTAGATCTACTGTGAATGATATTTTGATTGAATCAGTCATTTGGGGTTCCCATTCATGCTGCAAAATCATTATTTCAAAAGGCTACTCAAGCAGCTTGTATTGTCATAAGAATATATTCACCAACTGAATGTGTGCATATATATAGATATGTTTGAACGTTGTTCTCAATTTAGACTTTTATATATAGATATATATATACGCTTGAACTCAGACTTGGTCCTATTGTTTTGTAGTTACATTGTATCTTGTTTGTAATTTCCTCAACAATCACTTAATAAAAGCCTAATTAAAACCTCAGATATATCAAAGAAATATTAATTAACAATTATCAATATATCAGAGGGATAATAACTATAAGCACTTCACAATCTTATTTTGTTCAGTACATTTTAAAAACTTTATTTTTTAATAATCACCCTTTTAACAATATTCTTATAACATTTATAAATTGATATAAATTCTTATCAATGAATATAAATGATGTATTTTTCCATTTGTTTCATCTCGTCTGTTTGTTGAAACATTATATTTTCCTCCTTAAAAAAAAAAAAAACATGGTTAAAACTACTTTACAATGTATGGTGGAACTAGCAGCCAAACAACTATGACCTAATATGCCCTTCAATGGTTAATGCAGCCATGTTGAATAGTGGCAGATTTTCATAATGGAGGTAAAAATGATTTAAAAAATACGGGAAAACATCATTGAAACAGAACAGTTGCTTGGAAACATGTATAGGATTTCCCTTACTTTCATACTATTCCCACCTCTATCCAAAAAATTTGCCCCTATTCAATATGGCTGCAATAGAAAAGCGACAGGAATGCAACATATTTTCCAACTTTTTTGAATCGGAACCTTTTTGATCAGAATAAACGCTATCACTTAATTAATAAACATAGTCGATGGTATGCAATTTTATTCATGATTTATTCAGTGTGGACTGGCATCCATAAGATTTTCAGTGTGATAGAAAATCTGCAGTTCTGTCAGGACGTAAACAGAAGCTGAAAATGAATAATTAGTGGCATGCAACATAGTTTTAGTTGTTATCCTCATGTTATGGGTTTATGTGCTATTAAGAACCCATTGTGACGTCACAATATTCATTGAAAAAGTACACATAGCAGGCCATAATCTTGCAGGTGAAATGACAATTTAAGTCACCAAAGAATTTTGAAAATCGCTAAATCTCGCCGGCCGACTGACTTCATGGCGAAGTCAAATCGTTATCAAAATTGGTAAAGGGAGACAACTTGTGAATTAAAAGTCTCCCAGGTAAAAAAAAATGACGACTGAAAAGGAAAATCGAGATTTTCGAAACAACCCAGGACTAATACTGTCGACGATCAAATTAAATAAATACAACGGCGACTTTGAACATCCTCGGATATAACATTCAAAACTATTCAAACGGAAAACTGACCGTCTGCTAAAGTTATCATTTTATGATGATTTTCATCTGAGGATGTTGCGTAATCACTCAGCTGATTTGTTTTATTTCTATTTATTACAAGTCATTCAATTGTACTATTCGGTAGGTTGAGGGTGGGAATTAACGGTAGATTTATTATATTCATTGAATAAAAATTGAAATATAAAAGGTAGAAAGACAGCTTATGGATAATGTGATTGCAAACGTACAACACTCGACCAGCTGTGATCAGCAGTGGATTTTTTTTTTTCACAACCATTTCGTTGATAGGGAAGATATCTTTAAAAAATGATAGAAATTAGCTCTTTATCGGTTAATTAATATGTGATTGACAGATATTTTCATTTATAGGCTTACAATCTTTAACAAGAATCTCAATTTTCAACTACATGTAACATGATGTCCTGGACATTCAATAATGTTTTACAAAACAATGACAAGTGGTGATATAAATTAAATTCCCAGTCATGTGAAATTCATCAGGGAGTCATATTTTTCTGGACATTTAAAAATAAATTGAGGCAGATGCACATGAATTTAATGCATCATAATATTACTAGGCTACTCCCTCATGTCCCAAGCAACAAATTTTATTGAAACTTAAAATTGTTGACAGTACAAATAGTATCAATAAATAAATAACAACTATATTGTCTAAAACTTTTTATCAAGAACTTTCTATATACATTTTGTATAATAACATGAAAAAACTGCAAGTATATTTTTTATTGCATCTAAAACAATTTCCTAATTTGATAAGCACAAAAACACTATGTAACCGAAACGGTAATGGAATCTCACTTCTCCAAGAAATTGACCACTTCTCCCTCTCCAAAATCCTAGATTAGGCCCTGCACATAATACGAATTCATATGACGTATGACAACATATAATCTGACCATAATTGAAGTAAAACTACAGTAGTGTCCGGTAATTCCACACGTCCGGTAATCCCGCCCACTCCCATTTCTTCCATTATTGTCACTTCCGTGAATATTTCGTCTACTATTTTATTCATAGGAACTGTACTTATCACTCGCTGTATGCCAAATTTAAAAAAAAAATCCTTTATTACGAAAATATCTAGTGATATATATAATACAGTTCCTTAAGCTAACGATAATCATATTGCTTACAAAACTCATTTCTGACTTGAAATTTTTTTTTGGATTATCTGGAATCTCTTTATAAGTGGTCTATTAATAAAAAGATCACCTTTTCTTTTCATAAATTTGTGATAAACTGGCCTTCCATACATATTTACTGTGCATGGACGGATTTACCGGAAAACACATTTCCAATAAAAACACGGATGACCCACTTGTTTTGTTGATTTTAAAATTCACTTCAGATATTTTTTGGGAAATGAGATAAACTACTCAAAGTTGATTTGTCAATGAATCGATTTATACTAAATTTGATACAATTTGTATATAATTAAGCAGAAATACATACGGTCAAAGCCTTAAGTGGGAGGATTTACCGGACTGCATCGTGTGTTTATTAATTGATGGATAGCGTTTATTCCGATCAAACTCAAAGACAAAGATGTCCGCTGATACAAAAAAGTTGGAAAATACATTGCATTCCTGTCGATTTTCTCTTCTGTGATAGTCGAGTTTGACATAGACCTTTAATTATTGCTAAAATTTCAATGTCTGTGTGATTTTATAACTTATTTGTAGGAGTATTTAGGGGGTTCTATATATACATATTTACACTTGTATGCAAATTCGTCCGCCATTACGTAAAATCACACAGGTTCCCGTAAACTTTGACATCATAATTCAAAACATTTGACGTCACAATTAAAAAGTGATTGTTGCCTGACGTCAAAAGGTGATTCGGAGTAGATCTAAGGTCATTCGGAGGCAAAATATAGCTAAATACCAAAAGTGTAAATATGTTTATTTAGCAGTTTAGGGCTACAAAAACAGAACAGCACGTACAAAAATACAGTGCTCTTTTAGGGCAAATGCACTGCAGTCATCAGGTCATGAGTGGCAAAATTCACTTGGAAAACAAATTCTATTATTCCACTGTTTAAACATATTGATAGTTTAATCAATATTTGATTGGTTGATACTATCCCACGTGTCATTGAACAAATCTTCATATTCCATTCTGAGGATCATATTCCCCTCTGAAATGTCGGGATTACTTCGTGCGACGTTACGCGCGGTTAATGTACATAACGTTTTGAACTTCTTATTCTTTTCTTAAAATAGCGATAGCAAAAATCATGATCACGTTCAAATTTATTTCAGACGATAAAACAAAAAGACTTATAATTAAATTTTGATCCTTACTGTTTATCAATGGGTAAGTCGTGTTTACGGTTTGACTTACAAAAACAAGCGGATAAGAAAAAAAATGTATGCAAAATAATATTTAATGTATTGATAGTAAACAAAGCATAGGCAGTGGAATAAAACATTCATTTCCCTTTGCCTCGGGAGATATGAAGATTTGCTCACCCTCGAAAAATCATATTTCCCTCGGGCAGAGCCCTCGTGAAATATGAATATTCTTGGGTGAACAAATCTTCATATCTCCCTCCGGCACGGGAAATAAATGTATAATATTGTGTAATATAGTGTATTTGTGTATATATGTCTCTGGTGTACACTATACAAATCCTTGCTGACTGCAATTGAATTATGAGATACCTTCTTTTAAATTTCCTTCTAAAAAATAAGGGAATTAACTGTACAAAAAACGAAAATGTTAAACACTTCTTCATTGGTTTAATTTTCTTCTTTTACCAATCAACATCGATTTGATATTTCTTCACAAGGACCTCTGGTAAAACTCGATTCTCCCTCACAGCTTAAGCGGAATTTTCTTAAGTAGCCCACATTCAGTTAAATCAAGGATTTAAAGGATTTTCAAAGTGGCATATATTATTCTTTAAGTATAATACTAGTTTTCCTATCAAAACTTTTGGTTAAATTTTCTATCCGATTTTGCTTGATTTTGTATTTCGCCGGTCACACGACGATATGCCGTTGGGTTGCACTAATGACAGGACGATTGCCCGGATAGTGACAGGACGACCGTTGTGGTCAGAATAGAGTCCGCCTAATGAAATTCCCGTAACTACATCAACTATCGCACAATTATTAGCATACGCTGATACGGCATGATACTGAAGCTAGGTCATATGCAACGCACGAAGATAGAATGACATCAAAGAATGATGATTATCCCAAAGTTACGTATAATGAAGGAGTTACTGCAAAACCAACCGGGAGCTCGGAGCACCAGCTTCTTATGCAGGCAATAAGTACATGTGCCGGACAATTAGTACAACAGCTTATTCAAAAGAATCCCCAGATTGTCCATGAAAGAGGTTGGTTTAACACTTATAGGCTCCACAAATTTACTTAAAACACCCTAATATACACCAAGCAGGGGTGTCATTAGGCATGTTGGGTACACCTACATGTAGTTGTACATTTTATAACACCCCCCATGCATGAACTTGATGAAGTTTGCTAAAATGATGCACATGATATAGAGTATAATTAGAATTTTGATTATTATACCAATTATTGAATTAATCTATCACTAATAATAAAGTTGTCATTCTATTTCCAATACAATAGATTTACCTTTAGCCTTTAGGGTAAAGGCCATGTTTATAATTTTAACGAACATGTAACTAATTACCAATTATAAATAATTACAAATTTGGTTCCTGTGTGAAGGTTTGAGAAAGAAGAGACAATTCTCAATATTGACCGTTTTTCTTTCTTCAGATAAGTAATTTAAGTATATTAATATTTAAAAGTATAAACATTTTTGCTTGATTTCCCCCAAACATTAATGTTTTGATACTATGCTGCCAATGTCATCTGTTCTGATTGTTTTTAGGATCTTAAAGCCTACATGTATACCCACCTAATATAAATTTCCTTCAAATTTTGACTACTTATGTTTTACCCCCTTTTCTTCATAAAAAGCCATAAATAAGCCCCAATTTGAATAACAACCGACACTTTATGGACCTAGCCTTAGTATAGCTCTTGTTCTCTCCGAGTTGGATATCAAGAACCCTGGTGGACACAGTATCATTGAAAACCTAAAACTGTTTCTTGATTTTTATTTCTTGGACTTGTCACCAGACAGCCCCAGTGAACTACCGTTCAAAATAGAAGTGTGGTTTTATTGCTGGTAATATACAAAAATGAACGTTACCAAAGTGAGCAACAGAAAGCATTTAGAAACAAAATAACTCTGGCTTTTCAAACACCTGTCATTCTTAAAGTTGTCTGCCATGCAGTTGAGAATGTCACCATTCAAATAGGAAGTTCTAACCGGTTCCAGAATAATTTTACACCGAAGGGGGTATTAAGTGTTACCCTTGTATGTACGTCCGTCCATCCTTCTGTACGTACATCTCAAAATTGGTTTCCATTCTCTAACTTTGGTTTGCCTCAACCAAATGTTATGAAACTTATACACAATGCTTATTACCATAAAATACAGATCAAGTTCGAATTTGGGTGGCATCACTACTGTTCTCAAGTAATGCCCATTTATAACATTATATGCAAGCCAGGGCGTCAACTGTGTTCCATCAGACACATTCTCCATTTATTTTTAACTTTGAAAATTGACACAGAAATAACAAAACAAATTAGCACTAGTGCATGTTTAAAAATAAGAAGATGTGGTATGATTGGCAATGAGACAACTCTCCACAAGAGATGAAATGACATAGAAGTTTACAACTAAAGTAGGTCAACTATAGATCACTGTATGGCCTTCAACAACAGTATCCAGGGCAAAATTTTGAAATTATTTATTTTCATTTTTCTGTATTTTACTGATAAATAAAAGAAATCATGTATCTAAGACTAATATATCAATCTGTACACAGTGTTCACTATTCACATTTCATGATTTTGTACAAATTGTTAAATGTTCCAGTAGGGTAAAAGTCGTCGTATAAAAATGCCTTCCGCTAAATTAGCAAAAAATAGGACACACACAAAAATGCAAAAATTATTTTTGATGTCTGATAATCGAATGTACACAGCATTAATGAGATTTAGGCAATTTACTTTGATGTGCCAACATTGACTACAATTCCCAGACTGACCCTGAACATTTGCTCAACATTCACTGACATTGTCTTGTCACTTCAGATGACTTCTTGAATAACACACCAAATCAAAATTTTAAGTATGGCGCTTGGAATCTTGCATTGTTGATAAAACATTACCGCAGTATTTTAAGTCAAACTTGTATACTGTCAGTTCAAATTTCTCATTTCAATATGAACTGGCCCCTATTAATGTAATGGAATTTTATACGACTGTTATACAGGTGAAAGCTTTAGCTAGGTATAAAATCAGGGTTAATCCACCATTTTTCTACACAAGGAAATGCCTGTACTAAGTCAGGAATATGACAGTTGTTTTTCATTTGTTTGATGTGTTTGAGCTTTTGATTTTGCCATTTGATAAGGGACTTTCTGTTTTGAATTTTCCTTGGAATTTCTGTACTTTTTTCATAAAATAATAATGCCATTATACAAATTATTCCCAAATTTGTTTCTACTAAAGATATCTGCCCAGATTATATACATATAGATTCTTACATTGGTACCAGTGGATTATTGGATTTATCCAATCGTGGTAGTTAAATTATCCAATTTTAAAGTCCGAGCCTCAAAGAAGACTTTAAAACTCAATAATTCAAGTATCCAAGATTGGTTAAATCCGATAATCTATGAGTAACTATGCAAGAATCTGTTTCTTTAATGATTACCAAATGAATTTTCATTTTTGATATAAATGATGAAAAACCCCTTTGAGAACTTCCAAATTCCTGATTTCTACGTCATACAAATATAATGTCAATTTCTTTAACACCTGTTAGCACATTTTGGTTCATCCAGAGAGCTGATAAAAGTTATGACCTTTTAACTTAGCCAATCATCTACTGAGATCATCAGCAACTACATGTTGATTAAAATTTTTAAATGATGGGTCCAGAAAGCATTAAATTCTGTAAAACTTGTACTTAGAAATAGGCAGGGGATTATTTTTATGCTGTGAACATTTTTCAGCAAAATATAGAAATATGCTCACTGTATCATTTGATAACTGTCTAAAACCAGTTTGGGTTCCTTTCTTTTCTATGATAAGCAATTGTCTTATTTTGAAAATCATTGTAGATGTTACATACTATATGTGATATTTTTTGAACAAAATAATTGGAATTTGAAGATCAATAAGTAATTGCAGCCACTGCAATTTATGTTTTCCCTAAGTAAACATAAGATGTGGAAGAATTACATGCTGTTTGTATCATTGAAAAATACAATGGGGTTTACAGATTAGAGAATAATGGGCAAAATGTGCAGAATCAAGGGCCCCAAAAAACCAGAATAGAGATAAATAGGGGGAAAAAAAGAATATATAGAGAATAATTGGGTGCTGAAATATAAAGAATAGAGAATAATGGGCAAAATAATCAAGAATAGAGAATAATAATCTAAAATATTAAAGAATAAAGACATGAAGGATCACCATCTAGACCCTCATATCCCCTCATGTCCCCTTTTCCAAAACGTTTGATATATTTTAAGAGATCACTTTCATCACTTCAATAGTTACTAGGTTTATTGATACATTTCTTTTCAAAATGATTATAAAAAGGTTGTTGTATGTGTTAACATTGTTTTGGTCATTAAAACCTCACCAATGAGATACATGTACTTTACTTTCAGTGTATTCACAAAACAAAGGATGTGTAACATGGGAACAGACAATAATAAGAATACAGTCATACACGTTCCATATAGTCTGGATTTTAAGGGTTATTGTATTTGAATAAGATTTAAATCTTTTTAAGTATTTTATTTTATAGTTCTTTGCTCTTTTTTAAAAAAATGTAATTTGATCTTGATTCAGTGAAGTTAGTATGAAGTTTGTCTCAATGAATTGGCATGCAGTATTTTTTTTTTAAAGCTTGACTTTAATTCATGACATGTGAAGCATAACATTTTTTTTTACCAAATGACGTCTCATATGTATATGCATGGATGTATATTGATTTTGTTGCAGTTAAAAAGGTTTTATCTATGAAAACTCTTAGTCTAGTTGGACAGAGAATTATGAATTTTAAACACCAGTGACCTTGAAAAATTGTTTATTTGGTAAGTTATGCAGGACCAAATAACTTCCTCTTCAAACAAAAACATCTTCTGCATTTTTGTACTAGCAAAAAATAAAACCAAAGTCTAGTATTATAATACTCTTTTCACAAATACTGTGAAACGACAAAGATTATTCAATTAAATAGAAAGTAAATTGAAGAAACTATTTGAGAGTTAAGTTATAATTTTGTGAATGTTTGATTTACCCTCAATTTATATTTTAATTTGACAAGGCTTCAAGTTATGAAGTACATTATATTTTAAATTTACTATCGTACTAAAGTTACGATACTGTTGTCAGATCATTAAGGATTGCATATTTTGGTATTAATATTAATTCACTAATTGGGTCTTTGCATCGGAAATAAACACATTTATTCTAAAACCAGTTGTTGGCATGATACGGGTTATGTTCTTCTCATATATTTTATGATGGTATGATACTAAACCCCTAACGGGAGGGATTGTACCTGATTTTCATATGATGAAGACATAATCTTTCAATCAGTTTAATTGAGGTCTGGAGCTGGCATGTCAGTAACTGCTAGTAGTCCTTTGTTAATTTATGTATCATTGTCATTTTGCTTAGTTTCTTTTGTTACCTATTCTGACATTGGACTCAGACTTCTTTTAAACTGAGTTTTACTGTGCGTATTGCTATGTGGTTCTTTATTCTACATTGGCTAGAGGTATAGGGGGAGGGTTGAGATCTCACAAAACATGTTTAACCCCGCCACATTTTTGCGCCTGGCCGAAGTCAGGAGCCTCTGGCCTTTGTTAGTCTTGTATGTTTTTTATGCCCCTGCCGTAGCGGAGGGGGCATTAAGTTTTACCCTTGTCCGTCTGTACGTATGTACATCCCAAAATTGGTTTCCGTTCTCTAACTTGAGTATGCCTCAACCAAATGTTTTGAAACTTATACACAATGCTTATTACCACAAAATACAGATCAAATTTGAATTTTGGTAGCGTCACTCTAACTGATCTAGAGTTATGCCCCTTTATAAATGTAAAAATTACAAAATTTTTAGTTTCCTTTTTCTAACTTAGGTTTGCCTCAACCAAATGTTCTGAAACTTATACACAATGCTTATTACCACAAAATACAGATCAAGTTTGGATTTTGGTAGCGTCACTCTAATCATTATTGAGTTATGCCCCTTTATAAATCGAAAAAATTTTAGTTTCCGTTCTGTAACTTAAGTTTGCCCCAACCAAACATTATGAAACCTTTACACAATACTTATTACCACAAAACTCAGATCAAGTACAAATTTGGGTAGCATCACTTTTATTGTTCTTGAGTTATGTCCCTTTATAATGTTGTATGCAAGCGGGGGCATCATCTGTGTCCATGGGGACACATTCTCCATTTATTTAATTTTAGTTCCTTTATATGTTTTGGAGTTTAGTGTGACGTCCATTTTCACTGAACCAGTACACAATTTTATTTAGGGGCCAGCTGAGGACCACCTACGGGGGCAGGATTTTCTCGCTGTGTTGAAGACCCATTGGTGGCCTTCGGCTGTTATCTGCTCTTTGGTCGGGTTGTTGTCTCTTTGACAAATTCCCCATTTCCATTCTCAATTTTATCATGTAAATGTATCTTACTACTTCTTGGGAATTCTAGGTTAAATATCTAATTTTCTTTTTGTTTTTTCTGTTAACTTATATATGGATATTTTGAAGATTTGGACTCCTAATAATTATTATACATCACATATCTTCAATCCATCATTTTACATTAACTGACAGGCCCTATATAGTCAGATACTTCTTTTTTTGAATAAACAGACTAATCCTCTTAAAACACTTGCATTCTTATGGGAAAGTTAAAACATTTAACAGTTCCTGATACATTTATGTAGTTAAACTTGTTAGTCCCATACCAATGAAGTGGCAGGGGACTTTAGGTTTGCACTCTGTCCGTCCGTCTGTCTGTCTGTCTGTCCATCTGTCAGTCCGGCAAATCAGTTTTCCACACTTTTTTTCTTCGTCCTTGAAGATATTGATATGATATTTGGTGTATTGTTTTATCTTGACAAGTTACAGATCAAGTTCGAATTTTGTTCTGGTCTGATGATTTTGTGCAGAGTTATGGTTCTTGGACTTAGAAAATTCACTCAAATAATCAATTTTCCGCACTTTTTTCATCATGCTTGAAGATATTGATTTGATAATTAGTATATAGTTTTATCATGACAAGTTACATATCAAGTTCGAATTTTGTTCTCGACTGATAATTTTGTGCAGTGTTATGGTCCTTGGACTTAGAAAATTCACTCAAATAATCAGTTTTCAACACTTTTTTTCGTCATGCTTGAAAATATTGATTTGATAATTGGTATATAGTTTTATCATGACAAGTTATAGATCAAGTTAGCATATTGTGCCAGTACAATGAGTTTTTAACTGGTAGGCATGCAATACTCTCAGAATGCTTGTTGAAAATCATTAAGGAAGATAGACAGTCCTATATTGAGCTGTTCAAACTTGGTAAAAGTATGTTTTATTTTTATACGACCGCAAAAAAATTTTGGGGTCATATATCATGTATATTGCTATCATGTCATCCTTGTCGTCTTCCGAAGACATCTGGTTTACGGACAATAACTTTAGTTTAAGTGTATGGATCTCTGTGAAATTTAAGCAAAAGGTTCAATACCACAAAAGGAAGGTTGGGATTGTTTGATGGTGGTGATGGTCCCAACCGTTTAGGAATTAGGGGCCAAAAAGGGTCTAAAACAACCATTTTTCTAGTTTTAAGACATTAACTTGTGTTTAAGTGTATGGATGTCTCTTAATTTGTAACATATTTTACAAAAAGAAAATTTCTTCAAATGTTATTTTTTTGGAAAAGAAGGGGGGGGGGGTAAATAAAAAAAAAAAATTTTGGGGGGGGGTGTCAATTATTTCCCCTCAAGATTAAAGAAATTGTCAATTTTCCAAAAAAAATTGGGGGTCACAATTTATTTTGCTAATTCTTTGTATATAGTCTGAAAACAGATTTACTAAGTATTGCGCAACAGCACAGTGTATTGCACAACAGCAAGAAATCTTCAATTGAATATAAATTCGAATCATATAACCAATTCTTTGACTACATTTATTTTGTGTCAAAAATCTATAATGTGTCAAATATTTAATTACAATCCAAATTCAGACCTGTATCAAGCTTGAATATTGTGTCCATTTTTGCCCCAACTGTTCAGGGTTGGACCTTTGTGGTCGTATCCAGCTGCTCTCGACAGAGCAGTTTATTCAAGAATATCTGTCACAAGTTCTCAACTGATGAACTGAATGCAGTTAAGTACTTTTTGTCTTTTGTCTTTAAGTTAGTTGTATATTGTGCTTCTTGCTGATCTGATGTGACAAGCAATTTCTAATTAATCATGTTACCGGGTAATTGTTACAGTTTGATCTTGTTGTGCTGTCACACCACTGTCCTATGTTAGGTGGAGGTTGAGCTCTCACAAGCATGTTTAGCCCAGACACATTCTATATGTGCCTGTCCCAAGTAAGGAGCCTCTAATTCAGTGGTTGTCGATTGATTTGTTTTACATTTTGACATGCTGAGGTCTTTATATATATCTGACAAGACAGTATGAGTTTTTCTTGTTGTTCTAAAGTCCATACAATGACCTATAGTTGCTCAAATCAACATCATTTGGATTATATTTGGATAGTTAATTATCTCCTTATTATATATTATTTAGTCAAATTGAGGTTGGTTGTACATGTATTTTATAGCTAAACTTTGTCATTAAAAAAGATATGTTTAAGACAAATGTAAAAAAAAAAACATCCATATTAAAGATGAGATAGGCAACAAGCTTTCTGAAAACTACATTTGAAATTTGTGTTCAAACATGCTGTTGAAGATTTAACAGCACTAATGAAATACATTTGTACTTTAAAAATTAATGGTAAATTAATGCATTTATAATTAATTAAAAAATAAGTTGCCATCAAATACTTTTGATGCCCATGTATATACAACAAATCTGTCATAATAATTTTGATAGGGTTTTTTCCTACAGAATGTTTTGAATAAACATGCAAAAAGCTCATTTTAGACTTTCCCTCATAAGCTTGGAATTCTTGTGGATAGTAACATGCAAGTTTCAAAAAAAATCTGAATATCTAAGGGATATAACGCTACCTCTAAATTTTGCCTTTACCAGTAAATAAAAAAAACAAACAATTGTATATGTAGTACCCATGACTGTTTGATAGAAACAAGTGTACATGTTAGGCCAGTAAACCACTGGCCTAAGGCATACATATGACTGTTCCCTCTATTGACAGAAATATGTCCTACGAATGGTTGGCAGAATGGTAATGTCATGAACTTTAATATGGATTAGTTGTATGTAAATGAAAAATGTATGAAAATAAAAAATTGGTGAGTCGGAAATGTACTTAAAATTTATTGTTATTTAGATTAAGGTTTTCTTGGAAAAGACACACACAACTTTAGTTTAATTTAAATCATGGTTTGTGAATTTGGTATAATTTAGTATTTTGTTTTTATTTCAGGTTGGCATGGACAGACAGCATTACATAAAGCTTGTCTCATCGGAGACTACTCAATGTGTTTTATCCTACTGGACAGTGGAGCTGATCCAAATGCTCCAAACGATTTTGATGAAACACCTCTACATTATGCCTGCAAAAGGGGTGTTCCAACTGTAATACATTTGCTAGTGCAAAAGGGAGGTAACTTGGATTGTGTGGATAAAAATGGAATGAACATGTGTCATCATGCTGCTCAGACAGGAAGTGTGTAAGTTAAGATGTGCAAGTGAAAATATAATAAACTAGTGATTGAGAAAATTTTTTTTAACTTTGAAAACACTTGAGATTAGATTCATTATCAGTCTTTTTCTGGTTGAAAATTTGACAGAGCAACAGTGTGATTGTGATAACTAAACATTTTGTGCAACCTGGTCATTTAAGTCTTAAGCTTTGATTCATTCTTTCATATGTTATGACAATATCAACTACCTCATTTTGAAAGTTTGTTAGACTTGATTAGAAGGTGCATACTGAATTTAAAAAAGTGACTTAAATTTCTAATCATTTCACATGTTTTCTTTACTGAGCTCGGTAGATGCTAGATCACTCCATGGCAATTATTTATGGGATGCCCAGGGTTTGTATGTTTGGCAAGTGTTATATATCAAAATTGTACATTAAGGCTTAATTTATAACATAGTTCATATGTAAACTGTACTCAGTGCTAGTAATTGTTGTACATGTACTCAGCTTTATATAAACAGCATTATATCAACTTAGCGTCACCATCGAGTTGCATTAAATAGATCAACATATAAAAAACATTTGTAGTACTTTTTAATGGAACTTTTAATTAAAATAACTGAATTCATTTATCAGAGAACAATTGTGCTCATTTAGAAATAAATATTTTCATTTTAAAGCTTCTATATAGAGGTATAAGACTGAACTTTTTAAATAGATATTTTCCTTATATATGATTTTGTGCATTTTCTCTTACAAAAAAACATAGATTTTAAATGGTAAAAAAAAATTTCTGTATATAAACAAGCATGGCACGGTATTGTTTTTTTTTTTCTTTTTCCTAAAATGCACAATAAAAGCCAACTGGTGTACTGATATTAACAAAAAAAAGACATTACAAGAACCTTGTAATAAAGTTCCCATATAGGTTAACATATTTAACGTATTTTGGCATGTAAAGGACAAGGTACACTAAGGGCCGTATTTGGCCCCCTTTTTTGTCAAAAAATAATTTTCATGAAATAAATGAAATTAATATCGGAAGTAATTTGCATACATCTGTTCTTTAGTAGCACATGCGGATTTTATCTTTTAGTAAAGCAGAAATACGATTTTGGGTTGCTTAAAGTCGTTTGATTACGTCAAAAGATAGCAAAATGTTGATTTTTGGACTCAAATCTTTCGTTTTTAAAGGCCTCCGCCAACGTGAGCCAGAGAAAAGAATGGTGATAAAGATTGCATTTAAACGGGATTTTCTGACAAAGAAAAGAAATTATTGGCTCACGTTGGCGGAGGCCCTCAAATATGAAAAAAAACTCTCTCCTAAATAACAACAACTTCGTCGGAATAGTAATATCGGAGCGAAATCGGAGAAAGGGCTAACAATCTCCGCATTCGGCTGTGATTACAAGACACCATCAACTACATCAAGAATATTTCCATAGGTAAGGTTTTAAGTTTTTAGATTTTGCCATCATTCTTCGAATTGTCCTTTTTTTCTTTTTATCAAGCTGGATTTTGTTTATCGATTTAGATCAACACCTAACATGATGAAAACGTATGCATGGATATGCCATTTGGCACACACGATAAACAGCCATTTTGCATTTGTCCCTCCGGTTGAGTCGCCATATAAATAGAAGCGACAAATAGTTTGAATAATTAAATTGTTTTTCGTTTCAAGTAAAAAATACTCAGAATATATGAAAATTCTGGACAAAATATCTGGCCGGTTGCAGACGACTTTGAGAAACAGACCACCGGCACCGCCGAAAACAACTAGTTTTACTTATTATTAACGGGAGATTTTTCTTATGAGTTAACATGAAAAGTAAACAGTTTTGCTAGAAAAAAAGTGTCAAATTCCCAGATGATTTCGGTGTACAAATAGAAAAGAGGAGAAAAATAACAAATGTATGAAAAGCAGTACTAGTAGGAATAAGTACATCGTTTTTAACACTTTCACTTACGTTGACAACGTAGTGTATTGGTAACGCGTCCGCTTCTTGTCCTGACGACTGACGTTCGAATCTCAAACCGGAATTTTTTTTTCAATATTTTTTTTACTAGTATCATTTTGAATTATTAAGTCTGATGTCTAAATATATAGTTTTAGTCCATTCGATGTTAAAGGATTTTCTTCAAAGTTCGAGTTTCATTCAATCTAATTTTTTTCATTGCCGTTTGATTCATTTTTTTAACAAGAGCAGTATAATAGAAGTCATTCGAAGAAATAATATTAAAGAAAGTTGCTATATATAGATTTCATATATAGGTGTTTCAGACGCACACGAATGTTCTCAAGATTTAAATTGTGTCAACAGATAGCAGTAACATGTTCGCACAAAATGATTTTCCGGTCCTTGGTTTTTAAAGTTAAAATGAAAAAAAAATCATAACATAATTAAAAGGTAAACAAAATGCTTGGACAACCTGATGCGTGAGGTTAATATATAATATATATATGATACTTCCATCCTTTTTGTTTTAGTGTAAAACATTATATATAACATTTTTTCTGTCTTATTACAGATATAACATTGACATCCTGATTATGTAAACCATGGACACAACATAATGAAATTCATGGACATTCTTATGCCTGTTCTCGAAAATGGTATAGTTATTTTGTTGTTTATCATTACTACGACACTAGAGACTTGATAATAGACCGGTTTTGATTCATGAAAATTTTCTCAGATTTCATTTTGGCTCAGTATACATTCGAAATCAGCATCATCAATTTCGTACTTCTAGATCACGTTTTTAATAAGGGTATTATAATTCAGAATGCAAAATACATGTTTGCAGCCAATACCTTCTTTTAATATATATTTTACAAGAATACCGAATGAATCTTTTTATTATAGATAAATAACTTTGTAGCCGCTCATTATATATTACAAATATATTTCGATATCTATTTTAGATACATAAGAGATTACAGAATTGATATATCACTGAGAATGAAGAAACATAAGGAATGGTAAATATACAAGAATGTTTTTCATTTTTATGCATACTAAATAAAACCGGTTGTAAGGGTTCCCTCGCGCAGAAGAACATACGATGAGCACTGGTGTCCGTTTGGATTGAAATAACTTTGCAATTATGGTGACCCGCTATTGAAAAGATTTAAAAGAAATAATGATATAAATAAAATTTAATGTTGGGTTCATGTTAATGAGACAGCTACCATTCAAACAACAAAAATGTTCCAAGAATGATACCGTATGTTAAAAAATATGCTGCATCAAGATGCATCTCGTATGTCATACTAGAAAATATCAAAATTGGTCGTATACAGCATATTGTACCCCAGTCTAAAAGGGGACTATATTTATTGCCTTCTCATTGTCCGTTCGTTTTGTAAATATTTACGTCACATGTTTTCTCTGTTACTGCTGCCTGGAATTAATTTATATTGTCAGCAGCTTTACAGTGTTCATTTGTAATGTGTGAGGATTTATCCAATATGTCGAACAACTTCTTTCCGTTTGTAAATACTTTGAATATTCATACTACCGCGGCCGTATAATGGTATGACGTTGTCGTCGTCATACTAAAATATTTATTTCAGGACAATAACTTAATATAAGTGTATAGATCTTTATAAAATTGAACCACATGGTTCCATACCTGATAAGAAAGTTTGAAGTAGTATAGTCCAGACAGTGTGACCCCCAAACCTCGGACGCCCGATGCCGACGCCATATTTGGACCTTGACGCCAACGCCATATTTGGGTCTGGACGCCGACGCCATATTTGGACCTGAAATCGGGACGCGAACCTAGGGTTGGACCATGTGACTCGGACATGGACGCCGACGCCATATTTGGACCTGAAATCGGGACGCGAACCTAATGTTGGACTATGTGACTTGGACCCTAACCCTTTAAACCCAACCCCAGAAGTTTGTAGTAATTGAAAGTCTACTCTGTTTCCATGCAAGGGACGAAGGCACTATGTAACTTAATGAAGCGAAGAAAGTGGTGTATGGGAACTAGCCAGGTTAATGTGCAAATTATTCCTTTTCAGAATTACCCAAATTTCTGGGGTTGGGTTTAAAGGGTTAGGGTTAAGCTAAGAAGAATTCGCGTCCGTTTTCGAGGGTCTGCCGTCCACTTTCAAGGGTATGACGTCACTAATAGTGTCCAACTTGGAGGGTATTCTGGTCCAACATAAGGGTCAAATATGGCGTCGGTGTCCGCGTCCAAGGTTTGGGCTCAAATATGGCGTCAGCATCCGCGTCCAAAGTTTGGGCTCAAATATGGCGTCGGCGTCCCGTTTTCAGGGTCTTATATGGTCCTACTCTAAGGTATGGTGTTCGCGTCCTGATTTCAGGTCCAAATATGGCGTCGTCGTTCAGGTCCAAGGCACATGGTCCAACCTTAGGTTCGCGTGCCGATTTCAGGTCCAAATATGGCGTTGGCGTTTGGCGTCATGAGTTAAGGCCCAAACATGGCGTCGGCGTCCCGATTTCAGGGTGTATATGGTCCAACTCTAGGGTATGGCGTCCCGATTTAAGGTTCAAATATGGCGTCGGCGTCCAGACCCAAATATGGCGTTGGCGTCCAGCAAAAATATGGAGTCGGCGTCCAAGTCCGAGTCACATGGTCCAACCCTAGGTTCGCGTCCCGATTTCAGGTCCAAATATGGCGTCGGCGTCCAGACCTAAATATGGCGTTGGCGTCAAGGCCCAAATATAGCGTCGGCATCGGGCGTCCGAGGTTTGGGAGTCATACTGTCCGGACTATACTACTGTTTGGGATTGATTACGGGGGTTATGGGTCGAACCGTTTAGGAAACAGGTGCCAAAAGGGGAAAACAGGATTAGCTGGACTATAACTTGAGTATCACTCAATGGATTTCTGTGAAGATATACCCAGTGTCGGACCCAGAAATTTTCATAAGGCGAGACCCATTGACTGCCTAAGAGGGGGCCCGCTGTAGTCATGCTTCAGTGATTCCCTATATAATCAACAACATTTCTTCAAAAAAGGGGACCGGGCACCCCGTGCTAC